AGATACTGAGGTTCAGAGAGGGCCACAGCTTCTCCAAGACTTATACGTCCTTTACCACAAAGCAACTCAGCCCCATGGCAGCCCTTAGTGTGTGTATTCTGTGGACCAACAGAAGCCAACAGACTGTACAGGTGTATCGAGTAACGTCCTCTTAGTCCCAGTTCAGAGCTCAATCAACATAACCAAGCCCAGGCCTTAACCATCGCACTGCCTTCTTCTCCAAGCCGCCCAGCTCACTGTCACCACCAGGGGGCGCCATGGGCCCGCCCCCGGGAGTGTCCCAGAATTCCCCAGTTCACTCCAGTTTGTTATGTTCCCTTGAGTCGACTCCACCGCATAGCGACCCCTATGGACAATAGTTCTGAACCCTGTTTTATAATAGTCTCTGACCATTACCCCAGTCACTAATCCATCTCATCGAGGGTCTTCCTCTCCTGCCCTGTCCCTCCACCCTCCCAAGCATGACATCCTTCTCCAAGGACATGTCTCTCCTTGCACCATGCCCAAAGTATGTCAATTTGAAGCCTCAAAATCCTTGACTCCTGGGACTAGACGCCTCCAAGTCACAGAAGTGGATGAGTTGGGGGTGAGCCAGTATAAGGAAGACTCCACTTCTGACCCCAACTATACCCGTGCTGCCCGGAGACTGACCCCCAAAACTTGAGTGGAATCTCGAAGACCCTCCCAAGTCTAACCAGTGCTTCCGAGTCAGAGAAGACCAGGCCTGTCTCTTAACCTCAGTTTCCCCAGCTGTGCACAGGAGCAGGAACGCCAGGTCCTTCCTCGGGGCTGGTGGAGATGGCAGATGAGAGTCGGACTCAGCTCATGCAGGCTGTCCTAAATCCTCTGCAGAGAGCAGGCGGGGAAACTGAGGCCCAGAAAGGCCAAGGTGTCTCCTAACGACCCTCAGCAACCACAGAATTTGGCCAGAGGAGACGCATTAGAGGGGGAGGGGATTAGAGAGGCCTGCATGGGGGAGGGCGGGTGCAGCGCTGCCCTGGCTCTGCCAGGATGTGCCCGGGCTTATTCCGATTCCGACACAATCATGCCCGACTCCACCCGCCGCACAGGGGTCCTCCCGTGCAAGGTGCCCCTGCAGGGACTCTTCATCCAGAGGCTCGGGTGCTCAGAGCGAGGTGTGGGCGGCGCTGGGACATGAGGGACAAGAAGCGGGTGTGGGGGGGATGGGGTGGGCAGGGAGGAAAATGTACAACAATGAATGGGAGGATTAAATGGAAAGAATATGCTGTAAAAAAATATATATGTTGCGTTAAAAAAAATCATTAATCAAAAAAAAGAGGGTGTCCCACCTGTGCTGTAAACTTCTCTTTCTGAGCCGTCGACATGGGACAGAACCATAAACCCCTAAAAGCCCCAAAACCTGTTCCAGCCTTGGCATCTGAAGGCCACGGATCTGGAACATAGGGACTTTGGGAGATATGGGAACACAGGCTCAGAGCGCAGAAGACACTTCTGTGGGCCCAGGAGCTGAGTGTTCTGTCCTTATCTCTCATCAATTTTTTTTCTCATACATTATTTTTTTAAAACCCAACTTTTCATTGAGTGGAATTGACTCATAAGTGAGCCTCAAGCAAGTTTACTAAGGCTGCAAATCACACGAGAGGAGATTACCTGACTTTCTCTTGTGGAACAAGTCACTTTTAGATTAGATTAGAACCACTCACCTTTGAGTTGACAACAAAACTTTCTATAGAATCTTTCAGAAAAATGTTTTAAATTTCATAATGGAAACAGGGCCAGTGTTCTAATCTTGGTTTCTTTACTTGGCATGTATATAGTCATTCAAGTCTTTACTAGGTACCTACTGGGTACCTCACCAAAGTGCTCAAGAGCAATGATGTCAGTCTAGAAATTAAGGTGCGCCTGGTCCAGGCCATAGTCTTTTCAATTACTTGCTATACATCAGAGAGCTGGACAGTGACCAAGGATGACAGAAGAAGAATTGCTGCCTTTGGGTTGTGGTGCTGGAGAAGAGTACTGAACATACCATGAAGCATCAGGAGAACAAAGGTCTGTACTCAGAGTGTGAAACCAAGTTTTTTCTTGGAGGCAAGGATTTTGAAGTTCCATCTCACATACTTTGGGCATGTTGACAGGAAGGACCGGTCCTTGGAGAAGGACATCATGCTTGAAAGGATGGAGAGACAGCATAGGAGAGGAAGACCCCAGATGAGATAGATAGACACAGTAACTGGGGCAATGGGAGTAGGTGTGTGGGAATCAGTGAGACTGGCTCAGGGTGGGGAAGGATTCAGAGCTGTTGTATGTAAGGTCACTATGAGTTACAGACAATTCAATGACATATAACAATAACTGTGTACCAGACAGCAGTGACCAAGCAGACAGAGGTCTCTGCTGACATTCTAATGGGAGAGAAAAAGATCCTGTTAGGAAATAAAATAGGGACGTGTCAGACTGGAGGGAGGAGGAGCAGTCAGTCATGGCAGGGAACTTTGCCCGAGAACCTACCTTGTCCCTAGGGGAGGCTGTGAAGTTTGAAGACCAAAGCAGTGATGCCTTTGAATTACAGTGTTGACAAAAAATAATGAATATACTATAGGCTGCCAGAAAAGGACTCTGGTGGCACAGTTCTCAGAGAGTCGTGCTATTAAACCAAAGGTGGCATCTCTGGCAGTTCGAATCCACCAGCAATTCCTCTGGAGAAAGATGGGCAGTCTCCTCCTGCCTGATTTACAGCCTCCTGAAAACCTGCTGGAGGGCCAACTATGCCCTCTACTCTGCAGCAATGAGAGTGAGAGATTAGATTATCAGAAGCATGAACCACTCTGTCCTGGAATGAGACTTTGTCTCATGTGCTTTCAACAAGTATTCAGGAGAAACCAGTCCCCCAGTGGACATCATACTTGGTAGAGTGTCAGAGGAAGGCCCTCACTGAGATGGATCTATACCATGACTGTAGCTGTGGCTTCAAACATAGCAAAGATTGTGAGGACGATACCTGGCTGGCAGGTGTCGTTTCTGTTCCACACAGGATTGTTAGATGTGGAGGTGACTCAATGGCCACTAACAACAATACCAATAATGATGGGACCTCAGGGTCAATCCATATCATTTCGTGGATGACTCTAGAGGACATTATGTTAGTGCTACTGGTCCTTGGAGAAGGACATCATGCTCGGAAGGGTGGAGGGACAGCGCGGGAGGGGAAAACCCCAGATAAGATGGATTGATACAGTGACTGGGGCACTGGGGGTCGGTGTGTCGGAATTAGTGAGACTGGCTCAGGACAGGGCAGGGTTCAAATTGCTGTACATAGGGTCGCAGGTCACTCAACAGCACATAACAACTCATTATGGCGAGTGAGATACATCAATCCCAAGAGGACAAATAATATATAATGATGACACTTTTCAAAGGAGACAAGTATATCTGCATATACAGAGACCAGCGTTCCTTAGTGACTGGGAGGGATGAGGGAGTGAGGAGAAGGGGAATCACTTTCCAGATTGTAGATATTTGGAGGGGTGTGTGTGTGTGTGTGTGTGTGTGTGTGTGTGTGTGTGTGTGTGATGGGAAAGGTAGCACCAAGTGTAGGTGACATGAAGATGGCTTGACCAAGGTAAATGACGACTCTAAGAAATACACTCATCTGTCAAACTCATTGCCATTGGATTGGAACCAAATCCCTCCAGTGGACTTTGGGAGGCTGTGAATCACATGAGAGGAGACATCCCGCCTTTTGCCAGCAGTGACTGGTAGGTTTGAACAGTTCAAGAGGCATCAACTTTGGGTTAACAAGTTAACCACACCACTCCTGATGGACTACTACTGAAGAAACTTTCATGGTGGAGTGGCTAAAGAATTCAACTTCTAACCAAAGGGTCAGCAGTTCAAACCTCCCATAGGACAAACATGAGGCAGTTTGCTTCCATAAAGATCTACAGTCTTGAACAGGATTGACTTAATGGCAGTGAGTTTGGTCTGATTTTAATTTAACTACTAAGGAGCCCGGGTGATACAGTGATTAAGTGCATAGATGGGATTCAAACACTCCCCTGCTCTGTGGAAAAACATGTGGCAGTCTGCTGCCCTAGGATCAGCCTTGGGAACCCTGAGACAGTTCTAAACTGTCCTATGAGGTTGCAATAAATTGGAATCTGTGCATCAACTGTAATTTTGCTTACCTTGTGCATCAACTGTAATTTTGCTTACCTTTTCACCAAATAATTCCTCCCATTGTGAAAATCTGCTATCAGGGACCTCTCCAGAGTACTGAAAAGCAACGATGTCAATCTAGAGACTAAAATGCAACTAATCTAGGCCATGGTCTTTGCAATTACTTGCTATGCATCAGAGAGCTGCACAGTGATTAAGGATGACAGAGGAAGAATCAATGCCTTTGAGTTGTGGTGGTGGAGAAGAGTCTTGAACACACCATGGACTGTCAAGAAAACAAATAGGTCTGTCTTGGAGAGGGTGAAAACAAGTTTCTCCTTGAAGCCTAGAATTTTGAAACACTGTTTCACATACTTTGGGTACTGGCCAGCAGAGATTGATCTTTGGAGAAGGACACCATGCTTGGAAGGGTGGAGGGACAACGCAAGAGAGGTAGACTCCGGATAAGATGGATTGATACAGTCGCTGGGGCAATGGCGGTTGCTGTATCAGAATCAGTGAGACTGGCTCAGGACAGGGCAGGCTTCAGAACTGCTGTACAGAGGGTCACTATAGGGTCGCAAGCAGCTCGACGGCACATAACAACAACATAACAATTTGTCCCAAGAAAACATCAGGCTAAGGTCATGGTGCCATTTCCTAGAGATTACTCTGACTCTGCAAGGTGCCCCAGCATCTACAGGAACTGCACAACCGCCTTCTACCTCCTCCCCCCATCCCCTGTAAAATGCACCTCTTGGACCCAGCCCAGCTGTGGCTGCTAGAGTGTTTATTCTGCACACAAGGGTAGGCAGGGCCCGGAAGTCGGGGGCGGACAATGTCGGTAACTATAAAAATCGGTCATGCAGCGCCTGCTTGGTTTAGCTGTGACTGCAACCAGCACAGCGATGCCCTGGCTGGGACGGAAGCCACTGCACCGTTCTCCTGTGCTGCTGCTGCTGCTCTCGCTGCTGCCGCCCGAGGGCGCCCTGTCCTCGGTCCTGGAGCGCAGCCCCGGGCAGCTGAGACCCCCAGGGTTGGAGACCTCTAGATTCTGGGAGTTGCACAAACATTACGAGAAACTGATGAAGCAGCTGCACGTCAACCAGAGCTGGGAAGAGGTGAGCTCAGGCTCCAACACCGCCGCTTTTGTCTGGATCCTGACCCCTGAATGTGAGTGAATTCTTTGAGGTCTACGTAGCCAAACTTCAATGTGTAACCAGTGGTTCTGAGTCTATGAGACTTGGGCGCACCACTGACTCTGTTTCCACATCTGTGCACTTGGTAGGAATACCGGTGTTTCCTTGGTGCTGGAGGCACCATTGGCGGCCAGATTGAGCTGGGTTCAGCCAATTTGGGTTTTCTAATCATTCCCCCCCCCATTATAGATGGAGAAATTGAGGCCCAGTGTGGTCATTGCCTAAAGAACCTAAGCGCCAAACAGGGGAGAGGTGACCTGATCCCTGCTGTTGGATGAACTAGAGGAGGTGGCATATCAAAGAACCTGGTGCAGGGAAAAGGCTTGGCGACCACCGGGCCTTGCCTGCGCTGGTTCCAGATCTGATGCCATTGCACCTGAGTACTCTGAGGTCGCCAGTGGAAGGTGCTCTGGTGGGAATTTTCCCAGCTCCACTCGGTTCACAAAGGTCACAGGGGAGCAGAGGACAGGGCAAGAGGTTGTGCTGGAACCCAGGGAGGTTGAAAGAGGGAGTCCAACCTGGCAGAGCACTCAAAACCCACCTTATTTCAAATAATCCCACCGGTGTTGTATAACTTTAGGCAAACCACTCATCATCTCTGTAGAGAAGGGCAGACCCTCAAAGCACAGTCTTCCAACGATGTCCAGACAAGTATCAGTCTGGTGGCCTGAGGAATTTGGGAGTCCAAAGAATCTGAGATGTAGGGGCACTGGAAGGTCAGGTACTCATCATTTCTCTCGCTCTTTTTTTCCCTTCTAATTATTATTACACTAGTTTATTTACAAAATACAAATACATTGTTTTCCAACAAGATTCTTCCAATTTCCCTCACCTCTCCCCTGTCAAATTGTACAACTTCACGATTACTCTCTCCCCTGCACATCCTCAGCCCTATGCTGCCACTCTCTCCCTCCTTGGAGCCTTATACTCATTATACTCATACAATATCTGTTCTTGTGGGACTGCGTTAGTTCACTCAGTTAATGCTCTCCCACAAACGAATGGATTGAGAAATTATGGTACATTCACACAATGGAATACCACGCAGCGCGCAGTAGCAACGGTTTTGTAAATTATTACGTAACTTGGGAGGTACTCATCATTTTAGATGAGGAAAAAGAAATTCAGAATTGAAATGGACGAGATTATCCAGGTTACGACAGCCGGCTGCTCGGCATCCCCAGCCCTGGACACTCAGTGGGCCTTCAAGAAAATGTTTTGGCTGCTACGAGGCGGCTGAGTCAGGGTTTGAATGAATCGACCTTGAGTGAACACTCATTCATCCAAGCTTCTACTGTGTGCCTGACATAGTTGACAAAGCAGACAGAAGTCCCTGATGAGCAGCTAGGAGGGGTGACAAACGATCTACCAGGAAACAGAGTTGCTGGTTTGGATCCACCAGTGGCTCTACGACGATCTCCTCCTGTTCGATTTACAGCTTCCAAGACCCAATAGGGGGTCAGCTAGGAGTGGGTTCTGTTGAGAGGGAGGAGGAGGGACCAGCCTTGGTGGAATGGGGGAAGGAAGGTATTCCCAGCGAAGGGAACAGCTGGAGTAAAGGCCGGGGGGGGGGGCGCGAGATGCGACCTGGTGTGTTAGGAGCAGGCAGGGTTCTCAATGGCGCCCAGGCTGCAATGACCTGTTCCTTTTCTCCTCGCAGTGCGGCTCAGTCCCAGCGGTCATTCGTATCTTCGCATCCCCAGAGCAGCCCTTCCAGTCGGGCACCCCGCCGTCCCCCGCCTGCACCAGGCTCTGCTGCGGCTGTCCCCGACGACGCCGAGCCCGCGCGATGTGACGCGGCCGCTGAAGCGCCTGCTCGCCCATGGGAACTCTGCGTCACCTGTGCTACGCCTGCCGGCACCGCAGCCGTGGGACCTGGAGCTGGCTGCCCAGCCCTCTACCCATGCCCACCTGGAACTACACCTACGAGCGCACGCCGCCAGGGGACGCCGCAACACGCATGCGCGCACCGCGGAGGCCTGGGTGGCGGGAGCCACGAATTGCTGCGGCGTGCAGAGCCCGCGCGTGACGCTCGAAGAGCTGGGCTGGACCGACTGGGCGCGAGGGCCTAAAGAGCTGAACTTGCGCGCACGCGTGGGCGCGTGCCCGCCCCGCTCCCGCTCAGTAAGTGCGCACGCGCGAATCAAGACGCGCCTACATAATCTGGACCGAGATTCTTTCCCTGCTCCATGCTGCGTGCCCTCCAGCTTCGAGCCAGTGGTGCTCATGCACCGGGACAGCAATGCCCGCCTGACACTCACTTCTTACAAAGACATCCTCGTCAAGGACTGCCACTGCGCGTAAGCAAGGAGCCCTGTGAAGGGCGAGGTCCATGCACTGGGCTCTGGCTGTGGCTGCACTATGTCCAGTTGTCATCCCTTGTTCACCACCCTCTCCTCTGTCCTACCTACAGTTATATTTATGAGTATTTATTGCTAGAGGAACCCTGATAGTATAGTGTGTTGTGTGTTGAACTGCTAACTAGAAGGTCAGCGGTTCAAATACTACGCTCACGGGAGTGATGCACAGCCTCCCGTAAAGATTTACAGCCTCAGAAACCAGTGGAGGGTCGCTATGAGTCCAAATCAACTGGGAGGCAATGGAATTTTCTGTTGTTCTTTTTATGATATTTATTGCTAAGGTACTCTAGTGGTGCAGTGGATAAGTGACTAGCAGCTAACTAAAAGGTGGACTTTTTAAACCCACCGGAACGACTTGGCAGTCTGCTTCAGACATTTATAACCTTTGGAAACTCAGCATTTGTCCTGTGAGTCAGAATCTGCTGCATAATGAGCTGTTTTTTAAAACAATATTTATTGGGATGATTAATGGGGACTAACATGTTGGAAGAAATAGATGATTTCTACCAAGTTTTACAGTCGGAGATAGATCGAACATGCAACCAAGATGCACTGATAATAATGGGTGACTGGAATGCAAAAGTTGGGAACAGAGAAGAAGAATCAGTAGGTGGAAAACATGGACCTGGTGACAGAAATGAAACTGGAGATAGAATGATTGAATTTTGTACAATCAATTACTTATTCATTGCAAATATGTTTTATAAGAAACATAAACGTAGGTTATATGCATGGATTTCACCTGATGGTATGCATAGGAATCAGATCGATTACATTGAGGAAAAAAACCGCTGGAGAAGCTCAATATCAGCTGTGAAAACTAGGCCAGGAGCTGATTGTGGAACAGACCACCAACTACTCGTATGCAAGTTCAAGCTGAAGCTGAGGAAAATTAAACCGAATCCACAGGAGCCAAAATATGACTTTGCGATCATCCCACCTGAATTTCAGAATCATCTCAGGAACAGATTTGAGGCCTTGAACACTAATGAGCGAAGACCAGATGAGTTGTGGGAGGATGTCAAATGCATTATCCAAGAAGAGTACAAACAGTAATTAAAAAGACACAAGAGGAAGAAAAGACCAAAATGGATGTCAGAAGAAACTCTGAAGATTGCACTGAAGCGTAGAGAAGCCAAAGCACAAGGAAGAATTCAAGATACTAAAGAGCTGAATGGAAGATTCCAAAAGGCAGCACGGATGACAAAGCAAAATATTACAATGAAATGTGCAAGGAGCTAGAGTCGCAAAATCAAGAGGACCGAACTCATTCAGCATTTCTTAAGCTCAAGGAACTGAAGAACAAATTCAAACCTTGAGTTGCTATAATCAAGGATGCTTTAGGCAGAATATTAAATGATCCAGGAGGTATTAAAAGAAGATGGAAGGAATATACTGAGTCATTGTATCGAAAGGAATTGGCAGATACAGAAGAATTTAATGAAATAACATTTGAGCAAGAGCCTATGGTAATGAAGGAAAAAGTTCAAGCTGCTTTGAAGGAAATAGCAAAAAATAAGGCCCCAGGAATAGATGGTATACCAATTGATGTATTTCAGCTAACAGATGCTGCCCTGGATGTGCTCACCAAGTTGTGCCAAGAAATCTGGAGAACAACCACTTGGCCAACTGACTGGAAGAGATATCTATATTTGTTCCCATTCCAAAGAAGGGTGACCCAACAGAGTGTGGAAACTACAGAACAATATCATTGATTTCACATGCAAGCAAGATTCTACTGAAGATTATCCAAAAACGACTGGAACAGCACATCAGCAGAGAACTGCCAGAAGTCCAGGCTGGGTTTAGAAGGGATTGTGGTACTAGGGATATTGTAGCTGATGTTAGATGGATCTTAGCTAAAAGCAGGGAATACCAGAAGAATGTCTGTCTGTGTTTAATTGATTATGCAAAGGCGTTTGACTGTATGGATCATAACAAACTGTGGCTGACTCTGAGAAGAATGGGAATCCCAGAACATTTAATCGTGCTAATGCGAAACCTATACTTGGACCAAGAGGCAGTCGTCAGAACAGAGCAGGGTAACACTGCATGGTTCAAAATTGGGAACGGTGTATGCCAGCAATGTGTCCTATCTCCATACCTTTTCAACCTGTATGCAGAGCAGATCATCCAGGAGGCTGGGCTCTATGAGGAGCAGTGTGGCGTCAGGAATGGTGGAAGATCTATTAACAGTCTGCGTTATGCAGATGACACAACCCTGCTTACTGAAACTGAGGAGGACCTCATGCACTTACTGCAGAGGGTCAAGGACTGCAGCCTTCAGTATGAACTGAAGCTCAATGTCAAGAAGACAAAGATTCTCACCACTGGACCAATTGGCAGCATCAGGATGATAGCGAGGAGATTGAGATTGTTCACAGCTTCAGTTTGCTTGGCTCCACGGTCAACACTCTTGGCACCAGCAGCCAGGAAATAAAAAAACGTATTGCAATGGGAAAGTCTGCTGTAAGGGACCTCTCTAAAGTACTCAAGAGCAATGGTGCGTCTCTGCAGACGAAGGTGTGTCTGATACAGGCCATGGTCTTTGCAATCACTTGTTATGCATCAGAGAATTATTGGACAATGACTAGGGACGATAGAAGGAGAATTGATGCCTTTGAGCTGTGGTGCTGGAGAAGAGTATTGAATGTACCATGGACTGCCAAGGAAACAAACAGATTCATCCTGGAGAGGGTTAAACTGGGCTACTCCTTGGAGACAAGGATTCTGAGGCTTTGTCTCACATACTTTGGACATGTTGTGAGGAGGGACAGGTCCTTGGAGAGGGACATCATGCTTGGAGGGTGGAGGGACAGCGCAGGAGGGAAAAACCGTCTATGAGGTGGATTGATTCAGTGACTGGGGTAATCGGGATGGGTGTGTCGGAGGCAGTGCGATTGGCACAGGATTGAGCAGGGTTTAGGGTTGTTGTACATAGGGTCGCTATGAGTCACAAGATGGCACATAACAACAGTGTGTTGTAAGAGAGGTAAGAGGAAGGGCATGTATTTATTTATAATTCTGGTAATAAAAATAATCTGTCTCGATCATCCTGTGGTTTCCACCAAAGTCAGAAAAGACTGACCCTCTCACACTCTAGTTTTTCGCAGGGGAACTAGTGTAGGGAGGTGTGGGAACCCTTGGAGGTGAGTGGTGGGTACATGAAGGGGGCATGCTGGTCCCCAGGGATAGCAAGTACAGCCCTGTCTCTATGTACTTCCCACCTTAATTTCTCTGCAACTGTTCTTCTCTCTGTCTAGGTTTCAGTCTGCTCATATCTTTGCAAGCACAGACAACCCTAGACATTCAGTCAAGCCCAATTCAAAAGTAAGTCTTCAGTCCATTCCTCTAGGATGATGGCCTTCCTATACATGGCAATGTGTGATGGTGATTCCCCCATTAACCCGTGTTAACCAATCTTCCAACCTTTCCTATAAAAAGAGCAGGGAGAAATAAATAAGCTATGAAGATTATTTTCATCTAAGTAGAATTTTCCAGGTTGTATGTTCTTCCTATTGAGGATACAAAAATTCCTCAAATGTTCCAAGACTACTGTTTCTCCACACCCACCTTCCTGTTCACCCTTAGGATCTGTAATGGGGTTGGAAAGGCAAAAGGCCACTTTTCAGCAGTGAAAAGTGTCCCTTGTAAGTGCCATTGTGTAAAGCTACCTTGAATGACTCCCTCAACTGAGCACCCACGTTGGGCCAAGCTCTGGCTGGATATTAAGGACACATCAGTAACCAGACACATAAGAACTGCAGAGCCAAAGGCCCTGAGGTGATACAGGCTCCATGTGCTATCTCAAAGCTGTCAAAAAAAAATGGGTGACAAAGGCTGGAATACACCTGGATCACAGGTCAAGGGTGAGGGCTGTTGAACTGATGTACATTAGCGGGAGCCTGTAAGCTGGGGAGGAACATGATCTGATTTATGCTAGGACATAAAAGAGGACAATCAAGGGAAGGACTGTGACCAGGATAGAGCCACCTGGGTGGAGCAAAGATGAAAATCTCCCTCATTAAGCCCCCTCCCACCACCGAATCACTGGCCCACGTTGGGCAACCCCCAAACTAAACCAGAATCATACAAAAGTTAGTGGTGCTCCACTAAATCTTCCCCAAACCCCCACTGCTGCCTTTGCTGGGCATGTCCTGAACATGTGTCTGTTAGGTCTGGACAGAGGGGCCAAGGAAGAGAATGAAGAATTCAAACGCTAAGAAAAATAAATGGCCTTTCTCACCTAGCAGAACTAACCTAACGGATGAACCATAAATCAGAGTGGAATACCTCCCTTCCTTCCCTAAAGACTCTATCCCCTTGAAGGTGTGACTCTGCTTCTTCAGAATGGAGAAGCTCGCCCAGGAGCTCCCCTTAAATAAAAGCTACATTTTAAGGTTTATTATCTTTCTTTGGCTGACTTAGCTCCACCACTTAACAGTGTTTTCTCATACTTCTCTTGCAAGAACTGGTGCCTATGCCCAGCATCCTATTTTTTTTCAATTTCTCAAATTCTTATTCATCCTTCAAAACCCACCAGAGATTGCCCTCTTGCACAAAGACTTCTTCAAACTTCTTCAGTAAGGTCCTTATGAGGATCCTACCTCCAGCCTTTCCCTTAGCCCAGCCTTAACCTCTCAGAACTGAGGGTCTTTGTGTCAAGCTCGTTCTCCTCTAGATTGGGCAATCAATGGGAGCCAAGTCCATAACTAGTTCACAAAGAATCTAGTTCACGTAGGAATTTGAACAAATGGAAATCCACAAACTCTAGGAGTGAAGGAATCTGGCTGGTGGTGAAGCAGGGAGCACTTCTCAAAGGAGGTAGGACTGCACCTGGGCCTTAAAAGACAAGTCAAGATTTCTCAGACTATTAGAGCTGAAATCGTTTCAGTGACTTCCTTTAATCACCCTGTTTTATAGATGGGAAACCAGAGAGTTACCTGTAGAATCAGGACTTGGACTTATGTTTCCTGATGCCCAGACTAAGTTTGTATTACCAGGTTTAAGGATGAGAAAAATGAAAGGGGATGTCATTTTGGGCCAAAGAAAGGCATGAGCAAAGGAAGTTTTAAGAAGATAGAGTTGACTTGGAAAGGCTCAGGTCACATAAGCAGAGGGCTGAGACAAAAGGGTGTGGCAGGTATGAGTGAGTCTAGCTAGCCTCAAGTCCCAGGCTGAGGGGCTCGGGGCAATAGGGAGCTATGAAGGGTGTGTGAGCAAAGGAGGGGAAGTACAGATTTGTGGATTGTAAGGATCCCTGATAAGAGTCCTGGTGACACACAGTTAAGCACCCAGCTGTTAACCAAAAAGTCGGGTGTTTAAAGACACAGTAGGCTCCATGAAAGAAAAGATTTTTCTGCTCTCCTGTGATATTGTTGCTGTGTACCTCTAAGTCGGAACCTACCCAGAGCTGACCCCTCCCCATCCCCAGCAGGTTTTCAGAGGCATTCAATCACACTGCCCACGCATCTCCCATAGAGCAGCTGGTGGATTTGAACTGAGTGCCTTTAGGATTGCAGTACAGAAATCCTTTAAGGTAATTCAACTTTGGGTCCTACAAAAGGGTCACCATGAGACGGAGAAGACTCAGTGCCACACTATACCATGGCCTCCTGCAGACAGGGTAGTGACAAGGGACCAGGGTGGGAAGCTCAGGAAATCCTTCTCAGTGTAAGGAACTCTTTCTCCCTGAGAGAAGACATTTCCGTCCATCCCACAGTATTTATTGGGTGTCACCTGTATGCAGACAGGAAGGTGACAGGGAGGTCACACACACCAACCTTCCAGTCCGTTAACCATCCTCTCCCACTTTTCCTTCTGCGTTAACAGTCAAAATGGCCAAGGAGCAGTGAGGCCCACGCATGGGGCTGTTGAGCTTCTTTGGGACCCTAAGGACAGTTCTTCAATGTCTCCAATCCTCAGATGGGGAGAATGAGGCCACGGAAGAGTTGAAACACTCCAAGTCACCCAGCAGGGACCAGAACAGGCAGGGGGGTGATCTAGTCCCCACAGGCTCAGTGCCCTGGGACCACGTACTCCTCTTCATCCAGGGTGGCCCTTCTCAGTGATGCCAGGTTGCAATAGACAGGCTGGGAGGTCCTACTGTGGTCCTCGTAGTTCATATAGAAGTCATTCTCTGGTGACTGACTCCTGTAGGAACAGACAAGCGGGAAAGGCGGATTCAGGAGTCAGGGACCTCGGTTCAGAGAGGCTACATCTGCCTTCCCTAATGTTTACACAGGAAGAAACTGAGGTCCAAGGCAGCCCACATTGCTCAAAGGAGAGGGAGGAAGGGGGGCAGAGACAGAAGGCTCTGTGGAATCAGCACTGATATCCAATGACTTTCAACCCACTCAAAAAAAGAAATGGTTTTTCCTTTTCCTTAAAGTAGTTATCATTTTTTTTAGATTAAAAATCTAGACTTCGGTTTCCTCTTGAAAAGTAGGAAGTTCTGTCCATACTCACCAAATGGGCACATGTGGCTGGAGCCCCAGCAGTGCTGTGCACTAGGAGGGGGGGACTCACTGTACTCACAGATTCCTTGAAGCAATTGACTGACTTTGTAACTGATATAAAAAATAAACACATCAGCACTCAGGGAGCCCGAGATTAAACTGCAAAAACTACTAGGCTGTTTGACTTGGGAAAATTGGTGTTGCGTCTCTGAGTCTCCAGTTTCTGCACCCATGGAATTAAGCAGGAAGGGGCTTGCGTCTTAGGAATGTCTAGCTATGGGAGGTACAGCTCCAGAGAAGAACTTTCCTTACCACAAAACATCCTAACCTCACCCTCACATCCTGTCAGTTTTGTTTGTAAAATATCACATTGTACAGGTTACATCTACCAGTCACTCACACTTTAGTATGAATTATTCTAACTATAAATTAGTCCTTATGGTCAGGGACTAGAAGTCAGAGCACAGTTCTTGTCTCTGCTGTTGCCTCACTGTGTGATTTAGGGTGAGTCATTCCCGTACTTCCTTAGGCCTGTTCCCACAACTGTAAAATGTAGGCTGAAAAGGTTATTCAATTCTAAGCAAGATGAGAACATAAGAGAAGCTGGCCATCAGGTTATGTGAATGACCAACCCAGACATAATGTTGCCTTAGTAAGCACAGTGCCTTCAATTCCTGACCACAGACTACTTCTGCTTTTAATCCGTAATTTGCATTTACTTTTAATATATACTTCTTTCCCATCAGCAGCCTCCACTGGCCTCCCTGACTCCTGATATGGGTTCCGAAGACCTAACACAGCTTTGTACACATCCTTTTCCCGCTTGGAACCTCTCCCAGCCCCCGCCAGCCTCAACTCTCACATTTCGCCTCCAACTTCCTTCTCATAATATTCCTTGCCTCTTCACACATTCTGGCCTTTGCCCTGACAGGCCCCCAAATCAGTACCTTTTTTTCCACTCTCTGAACTAACTAGGATTCTCTTAAGACCACCAAAAGGAGCTGAGCATAAATGACTTCTTTGTGAGTCAAGGACATTCTACTGGCTCCACTTTTAAAAAATATCTTTAAGTGTTGTCTTATAGTCACTCACACTGTAGTATAAATTACTCCAAAATCCATGCACCGTCCTGTTTCCCTTTTTCAAAAGCCATTCATACGGTACACACACACACACACAAAATAATGAAATTTTAAAAAAGTCATTCAAATAAAATACTTTGTTAACTTCCACCTCCATGACTTTGCCTCCACTTATCTCCACACCTCAAATTCTCTCCATTCTTTGATCCAACCCAAGAAAGTCATCCCATTTTCTTAACCTTTTTTTTTACAAAACCATAATTTTATTTTATTTTTCAATAAGTTTCAATCCTCAAGGGATACAGCATTACACAGATTCTGTGTCCAACGGCTTAGCAGGAAGGTTGCTTTGAAAGTTGGCCCGAACCATGCCACTGTTTCCGTGGGCACAAGTTACCTTTCCCCAGATTAATCTGGCTTTGTTGGGCTTGCCACCAGGAGTGACTGTATTATTTTTTGCTTTGTAAACATAAGCACAACTCTTGCCTAAACAGAATTCCGTTTCATCTCAGGCATAAACACCTACAATTTTAAGAAGAGCTGTGTGCTCCCTCTGGTTCCAGAGACCTCGTTTATAGCCAGCAAAAGTGGTTTTGCACCTCCCAGGCATCTTTGTGGTTCAGAAGTCCTGCTTCCAGGAGGCCGACCTTCACGGGCTCCAAGATGGTGGAAAAAGGAGCCTTAACCTATCTTTTTAAGCCAGCAAAGCATCACAGTGTGTCACAGCTTTGTGAACCAAGGAGGGATAAAGTGCTGTACCCATTTTCTGGAGATGTTAAAAGAGTCTCAGAGATAGCTCTGAGTTACCTGGCCAATTGCTGACCACAGAGCCCCTCTCTCTAGAGCACCCACCTACCCTCGGCGACCAGAACAGAGTTTGTGGGTCACAAAGACGGAAACTTGTCCCATATACATGAACTAATTTCATTCTTGCCTCCAACATCATGAAAAAAGGGCTTTGCTACCCCCTTTTTACATATGAGAGAATTGAGCCCAGTGGGCTGAAGGTACTGGCCTAAGATCACACAGCCCACAAGAATCAGAGTGACGCCCAGACGTCTAGCCCATGCTCTTAACCACCCATGAAGCACATACCTCCAGAACAGCCTAACCCCATCCACATCCCCTTATTTGCTCTGCTTAAAATGCTATTTTTTGGGGTAGTCATTCACAAGTTAGTATGAATTACTCTGAATACAAACATCGTTGTAGGGAGATGAGCAGGATTGAGAGTCACAGTTTGTTTCTTATCTAAGCTTTTGCTTCCCTGGAGATGGAAAGGTAGAGTCACTTACCCATGCTCAGTCCAGTGGTACTCCTGGGAGCCAGGCTCATGAGCTGGCTGGCCAACAACCATATTTTCATAGTCTGGAGTGGACGTGGTCGGCCCGGGCAGAGTGACTGCTGGGGCCTTGGAGCTGCGACCTCGACTGCTGTACCGTGGCTGCCTGCCCAAACCAGACTTGGGATCCTCCTTGGTAGCCCGGACCTTTTCCAGGTCTCGGTTCCGGAACCTCCAAGCCAGCACAAGGCCAGTGATGGCCAACCCCAAGAGCAGGCAGCCACTGGCTGCCAGGGCCCCAATGGTACCCGGGGTTAGACCACGGGCACAATTGGCCTCCAGGAAGGTGGAGAGGTTTCTCCAGGAACCCATGACCACATCCAGGCATTGCAGGGGCAGCTGGCCAGAACAATTGTCCCTGCGGACCTCGTGCCAGGGTGCCAGCCCACAGCCACAGTCGGCCTTCAGTGTCAGGTTACAGAGGGCGGCCAGGGTCCCACCCACACGGTTCAGCGAGTTGCCCGTGACATCCAGGACCTTCAGAGCCCCCAGGTTCTTGAAGAAGAGTGGTGGAAGCTCACGCAGGCCATTTAAGGACAGGTCCAGGGTGACCACATTGCTGGCCTGCAGAGACTGGTTTTGGGGTAGACTCAAGTTCAGGTTACTGAAGTTCAGGCACTGAGAGTAGAACTTCGTGGTCCAGTCCAGAGGCGCAGGATACACAGGGCAAAATTCCTGGGTCCCTGCATCCTCCAGCACCAGCAGCACCAGCAGCACCCACACCAGGGTGCCCTCCATTCGGGAGACCTAGGCAGAGACACCGGAACCCGAGGTCAACCTCAGTCCTGTGGTCACCCTCACCACCACCTTATTATTATTTTTACAGCTGAGATGAGATGCTTCTGAAATGGTAAAAAAGCCTCGCTGAGAGGCTCAGGCCCCATCCAAGCCTCAGTCTCCTGTGCTACTTAGCCCCGTTGGTCCTGGTGCTAAATCGTCTCTATCACTTTCCCAGAAGAGTCCTTTCAGTGTTTGTCCAGTTCCCCAACATTTCAGGCTCCCTCATTGGTCAAAAGGGAACCATATGCAAATATGAAGTTGCTGTGGAAACAGCCCCGCCTAGGCCCATAAATTGTTTCTCCCAGTACTGCCGTAGAGAGTCTTAAGGAGGGGTGGGGTAGGGGCTCCCCTGCACAGACCCGAATTTTAGCGCCTTGGGCCCCGTTTGTCCGTGCCATCTAGACAGACGGCGGGCGAGCGGATGGACTCTCACCTGAACTTGGAAGCCTGAGCGGCCAGCACCCTCCGCTGTGTCCCCCTAGCACTCTGCACCCACTCAGAGGGAAGAGGAACTGGTGTGTCCAACTGGTGTGCCGAGCGCAGAGGGAAGAATGAAGAAGAGACTGGGGCCCGCCCCCAGCCCAGCGAGGCCTCTAAGCCTGAAGTTCTCACGGGAGGGGGAGGAGTGACCCAGGGTCCTGTTTCCCTCTTACTTAGAAACCAATGATTATGTGACCCCAATGAACATTGAAGATGTTTGGCACTAACTTCCTGGTCCCCACCACTGTACTCTTAACCTGTGTCCTCAGTCCATTCATTCATTCATGCTGGGCCCTGGCCAGGCAGTCAAGGAGCCCCCGAGTCTTGGGCTGGAACAGAACTGACAAAGACAACTAGCCAAGCAGTTTTAGGACAGGACAATAAGGAGGGACAGGGTCCTCGGGACACTTTCTGGAGGAAGAGGGCATTAGACTTGGGGCCTCAAAGCATGCATAGGAGTTTTCAGATTCTTCAGACCTGCTTTTGGGTAGGGTTAGAAAATCAGATTGCTTGACCTCCTTGAAAGACTTGGAGGTCACGCTGAATATGTGGGGAGGACTCTGTGGAGGCAGGGACACTGAATCTGGAACTAAGAAGATAGAGTGACCAAACAGAAAGATAAGCATTGCAAATTCAAGGCAGAAATCACAGCACAAAGACCCAGTGGCTTGACAAGCCCTGACTGGATGGGTCTGCATAATTAGGAGTGTCTGGAGTGGGGAGACCGAGGAGCAGAGCTTTATCCTAGGCAATAGGGAGGCAAAGCAGGTGTATGAACAGAGAAGAGTCTGTATGGGAGACCCCTCTGCAGGGCGTCTGGGTGTCTGAGGTAAAAAAAAAAACAGGGAAGGAGGCCAAGCCTGAGAAGAAATGATAACAGTGAGGTTGTGGGGGGAGTGTGTGCAGCCAGCCTTACATGGGAGAAGGGGACTGGGCCTCATTGGATCCTGGTGTCAGGAAGGCCAGGTGCAAATGCAGGTCAGTCCTCATTTCCCTTACCCTTTCTGTGACCCAGTTTCCACATCAACAAAATGGGGTAACGACTAAGTCTTCTTTTGGGGTCTAGAAAACTGGGAGTCTAGCCTCCTCCAGTCTTCCCAGGTTCTCCCTATCCTCAGCCCACCCTTTCCACCTCCAAGTTTGTGTGACATCCCAAAAAGTCACGAGCTGAGGCTCTGCAGGAAGGTTGCAAATTCAGCCCGCCCACTCTAATAGAAACTTATCAGTTCTTAACCCGAGATAGGGCCCTTCTCACCTAACAGATGAGGAAAATCTCCAAAGTGTGGCCAAGCTGGGAGAAAGAGATGCCCACAAAGTGATGCAGTCCTCATAGGGGGATTCCCCTGGCAGACATGGTCAAATACAGTCACGTGTGCCCATGATCCAGTGGCCTCTCTCCTGGAAATTTGCCATCATGGCACCTTTCCATGTTTTGGAAATGAAGTGGGTATGAATGCATCGATACATCCTAGTCCATCCGTACAAGGGAATACTCAGTCATAGAACGGAATAAAGCCCTTGTACCCACTATCAAGGGGATGAATCTTGAAAATATGTGCATGAGAGAAGACAGATATGAAAGACCTGATATATGATTCCATTAGTATATTGTTCCATCCAGAACATGCAAACCCAAGGACAGAAACTAGGTTAGTACTTATCAGTGAAGGAGGAAGGAGATGACTGCTAATAGCCATAAGATCTCCTTTGGAGTGATGAGGACATTCTGGAACAAAGTTGAGACAGTGGTTGTGCAACATGATAGTGTATTCAATGCCACCTGATTGTATACTTCTGTGATGTTAGTTTGAAGACTAAGGTGCACCTGATTCAAGCCACAGTCTTTTTAGTCAGTTGCTATGCCTCTGAGAGCTGGACAATGAAGAAGGATGATAGAAGAAGAACTGATGTCCTTAATTGTGGTGCTGGAGAAGAGCGCTGGATACTCCAGGGATGGTCAAAAGAACAAACAGATATGTCTTAGACAAAATGAAGGCAGAGTGCTCCTTGGAAGCAAGGATGTTGAAACTTCTTCTCACACACTTTGGGCATGTTGCTAGGAGATGCTGTTCCTTGGCAAAGGATATCATGCTTGGAAAGGTGGAGGGTCAGAGAAAGAGAGGAAGATCCTCACGGAAAAAGGATTTCAATGACGGCAGCAGTGGGCTCCAGGGTGTCAGAGATTGTGAGGATGACACAGGATAGGGCAAGGTTCAGATCTATTGTTCTAGGGTTGCTGTGAGTCATAGTAGACTCGAAGGCAACTAACAACAGCAATTGCACGCTTTAAAATGGTAATTTGACATTATACTTCACCAAACCAAAAAAGAAGGAAATGGGGGAGGGAGTATATATCCTGGTTTGTTAAAGCATTGGTTGTTATTTGAGCACATTAGGAATAACCCGAGGGAAAGGCTAAATCCGTAACAGTTCACAGAATCAAAGAGACAAAATTAGGCGTCTGCAGGAGAGAAGACACTGATGAGAAGGACTGACTCAGTGGCTGGGTAATGGGATAGGTGTGCGGGAGATAATGAGATTGACTCAAGATACAGCAGGATTCAGAGTTATTGTACAGATAGGGTTGCTAGAAGCTGCAGGCAAATAGATGGCGCAAAGCAGAACATAACAAGAGGAGTCCTTAACTGGAGCTCTGGTGGCCTAGTGGTAAGAAACTGTGCTGCAATCCCAAAGGCACATGGTTCAAATCCACCATGTAATTTACTCCTTTGAAAACTCACTGGAGGATCAGCTAGAAATTGGTTCCAAGTCGATGGCACACAAAATCAGCAAAACAAAACAAGGCATGAGACCGGAGCTCCAATATCTCACATATTTTGGGCATGTGGCCAGGAGGGACCAGTCCTTAGAAAAAATGAAGACCCCGGATAAGACGGATTGACACAGTCACTGGGGCAATGGGGTTAAGTGTGTTGGAGTCAGTGAGACTGGCTCAGGACAGGGTAAAACTCAGAGCCATTGTACATAGGGTCACTGTGAGTCATAGGTGACTCAGTGGCACATAACAACAGCAATGGTATTAGTGTAAAAAGTATCAGCAACTAACTGAAAGGTTGGTGGTTCAAATCCACCACTCCTAGATAAACAGTTTCCTGGATTCAGATTTACCATTAACTGAAAGGTTAGGCATTTGAGTCCATACACAAGTGCCTTGGAAGAAAGGACTGGCAATCAGCTTCTGAAAAGTCAGTGGCTGGAAATACTGTGGTACACTCTAACATACACAAGGTTGCTGGAAGTTGGAGTTGATGTGACAGCAACTGGTTAGGACAGATAAGACCCATCCACTTCTTTCACAAATGTCTATTAAGCTCTGTGTGCCAGACACTGCTCTAGGAGCTACAGATACAGCCATGCACAAAACAAACAGACTTTCTTTGCCCTGTGGGGTTCATGTCTTATTCAGAGAGACAACATAAAATCCATGAGGAAACTAATGTATCAGGTGGTAGTGGGAGTTAAACAAATAAGATTGGGAAGGACATGGCAGGGGGTGAGGGCGACTTTGAAACGAGAAGTTGAAAGAAGCTCTTACTGAGAGAGGTCATCTGAATAAGGAGGGGAGGGAGGAGCCTTGGGGTGGTGGTGAGGGCATCCCAAGAACAGGAATAGCCCGTACCAAGGCCTGGAAGTTGAGCAGATGTCGAGATAAAATACAAAGTGAAAAGAGAAAACAAGGACCCCGATTACATCTGAATCCAGAAACTCTGAATTAAACACAGGAAACACATGCCAGTGGTTATTTCTTAGCAGAAGGCATAAGAAGAGACCGCCACACCCCGTTTTATATTCTTAATTTTAGAGCCATATCAGATCACATGACTGTAAATCATTGTCAACAAAGTCAGTTAGAGGGTGACAGCCAGCCAACTGCATGTGACCCGGTAGGTGTTGAGGACCCCCCCGGCACAGAGGAGATCAGGGTCTGTGGATCTGGGTGTGGTAGGATGGCCCTCATGCCCAAACTCCCCAGAGGGCCGCTGGGGGTCAGGTTAGTAAGTTCAACTCTAGGGCTTCTCCGAAAAGGAGGAACTGGAGAAATGGGGAAGCTCCAGACACTTGGGCTGTATTGGCTGTAGAGGCCTAGAGCCTGAGCAGTGGGGTCTAGAGGTGGGGAAGAGGGCTTGGGTCTTGGGGATCATGAATCTGAACGAGTACTAGGGTCTAGGGGCCCACACTTTCTGGAATCCAGGGGGACCTGGCGTCTGGGGAGCTAGATTGTCATCTGCAGTTATAGAGACCTGGAGTCCTGGCCTTGGCTGCTGTCTCTGTTGCTCCTGCCCAGACCCATGGGATTTGGAGCAAGTCTGGGCTCTGCTGCCCAACCCCGTGAAGGGCTGAGAGGTCTCTGGAAGCTTCAGCAGGCACATGGAGGTTTCCTCTCACCTCACCCCCTGATGTCCCAGCGTGTGTCCCAGCCTGAATCCCAGAAGGGCCAGTCTGTGAGTGCAGAGACCTGTAGAGACTCTGAGAGATACCCAGAGACAATCAGAGAGAGACAGGGAGATATCCCAAGACTCAAACAGGCAAGGGGTTCCCCGGGGGTGGCCTGCTCCCAGGTCACCCAGTGTGGTCCCCTCACCTCAGTCACACTCACCAAGCAGCCTCTGATGGTCTGGGGCCCATGTGCACACTACATACGAGGTGCCCAGAGCCTTGGCATCTGCGATCCCTGTGGGGAACACCCATCTCCAACTTTTTCCTGGACCTTCTTCGAGTCTCAGCTCAACTCTCATTTCCACAGGAAGTCACCTCTCCCCAGACCTTTTAAATCACCTCTGTCCCTGCCCATGGACACATTCATTGCCCAGTGAGTCAACTGCACAATTCTTATGACAGTCACTTTCGGATTCCATCATCTTTGTATTCATTTTTCTTCCTGAATTATCAAAGCCCAGAAGGCAGGAAGGAGAAGGGGCTGATTCTTGTATGTCTTGTACCCCCATTGCCCAAGGGCTTGGTACAAAGTGGGCACTCACTGAATATATCTGGGAGCACTCACAGGTAATTAGTCCAGTCTCTGGACAATGGTGATCACTGGGGACACCGTTTAAGTTTCAACTGTGTCCTCTGGCTCCCCCTGGCATCAATCATGGCTCCCTCTCAGAAATTCTCAAGGTGGACCAGGAAGGTGGGTATGAGGAAGAAAAAGGGCTTCTCACAGCTCAGGAATGTCCATGTCCTTAACAGGAAGGTTATATAAAATGGAAACGCTGTGCAAGTGACATGTTCTTCACAGTTTATTGGATTTTCCTTGTTCTTTTTATATAAAGGATCCATCCTTGGTGGCATAATAGGTTAAGTATTCGATTGGTAACTGAAAAGTTGAGAGTTTGAGCCTACCAGCTGTTCAGCAGCAGAAAGCTGAGGCAGGCATTAGCACTAACAACCTTCAACAGAACAGTTCTACTTTGTCCTTTGTTGTGTGCCATCAAGTCGTAAACTCTCTGGTAGGTTTTCAGAGGTAGTAAATTGCATTGGAGGAAATTATTCATCCTTTTCCCTAAGAGCAGCTGGAGGATTAGAACTCAGTGCCTTTTGGATTGCAGCAGAGCTTCTTACTACTAGGCCACCAGAGCGCCCTCAAAACACTCTTTACTATGAAGTCAGGTCTGACTCGTAGGTGGGTTTCCAAGGCTATAGGTGGCATGGGAGGAAAGGGCTTCTTTCTCCTCAGGAGCCACTAGTGAACTGAATCTGCCAAAGATGCATGGCCTTTGAGTCAGCAGTTTGACTCTTCTAAGCCCCTGGAGCTCCCTCTAGGACAGCTGTGAGTCAGAATTGACTTGGTTTCAATGGATTTCCCACCCCACCCCCCACCTTTAATAGAAAAGGTTGGAGGCGGTGTGGTTAACATAGTGAAAGAAAGACCATTTTCAATGTGGATGAACTTGGCCCAGCGCTGTCTGTGTCTTCAGGGGTGGCTTTAGTGAGGGAGAAAGGGTCAGACATGCTGAAATAAAGAAGGGTTTTGAGAGAGGAGCAGAGGGGGAGGGAGACAGGGACTCAGAGGATGACAGAGGAGCAGATGTAAAGAAACTCCTTTGGAGAAATGTGAGCGGAGAGCAACTAACAGCTTTCCACCAGTACCTCCTGGTTGCCCGGCTCTGTTTCAGAAGCACTCCATTTATGAGTGAGCCCTGCCAAGCCCTCCACACACCCATCCATCAAGAACCGTAGAGAAACTGAGATATGGGAGGACTGGGGTCTTCTGAATCCCTGAGTCCCCCTATGGACATCATAAAAAACCAACCATTTAGATAGTGTCACTTTATTTATTAAGTTATAAAAACACACACGTCTCTGACTCACCAACCCCAGCCCAGTCACCAAGAAATAACCCTAATAAATTAGCAATAAATAAATAAAAACAAAGAAACTGAAAAATCAAACCAGTCCACGCCAACCCACAATGATCTTGTAGAATAGGGTAGAACGAAGCAGACGGTCACGTTTTTCTCGCTCAGAGTGGCTGGTGGGTTTGAAACACCAACCTTTCCGTTAACAGCCAAGCGCTAGACCACCGCGCCACCAGGGCTCCTCTAGCAATAAATACAGACTTAAATACACAGCAGTATGTGGAGTGGTAGGGGACAGAAGTGAGCACTGAACAGTCTCCTCGGACCCACTTAGCGGATGCGGGTGACTGAGCTGCGCCTGTTGCAGGGCGCGCCGGCTCAAGCACAGTGGCAGTCCTTGACCAGGATGTCGTCATAGGTCTTGAGAGTGACACGACCCTCACTGTCCAGGTGCATGACAGCCACCGGCTCGAAGCTGGCGGGCACGCAGCACGGCGCAGGCGCGGAATCAGGGTCCAGGTCATGCAGCCGCGACTTGATCCTCGTGTGCGCGCTGGCCGGCCGGAAGCGGGACGGGCACGCGCCGACGCATGCACGCACGTCCAGTTCGCGCGGCGCCAGCACCCAGTCAGTCCAGCCCAGCTCGTCGAGAGTCACGCGCCAGCTCTGCACGCCGCAGCAGTGCGCAGCCCCGGCCGCGCAGGCCTCCGCCGTGGGCACCCGCGTGCTGCGGCGCCTCCTGGCGGCGCGCGTCTCCAGGTGCAGCTCCAGCCGAGCCGTCTGCGGTGCTGCCAGCGCCAGGTCGGACAGCCGCGGCGGCAAACGCAGGTGCAGTGTAGGCGGTGCGGGGTCTCCACGGGCGAGCAGGCGTCGCAGCGGGCGTGTCACGTCGCGCGGCTTCGGTGCTGTCGGGGACAACCAGAGCAGGGCCCGGTGCAGGCGGGAGGCGGCAGGGCGTCCTGCGGAGAGGGCGGCTCGGGGGATGCGCAAATACAGGCGGCCACCGGGACCCGGCCGAACTGCGAGGGGGTAAAGAGAGCCGGTTATAATGGCCTGGGTGCTGGGCGGGACCCTGTTCCTGATCCACGAGGCTGCATCCCATCGTTCCTTCCCCTGGAGCATGCTCTTCTCCATACTGACCCCTTCCCACTCGGCCTGACCGCTGCCCCTCCCTCCCGCCTCCCTACGCCTAGTCCGCTCCTTCTAATCTCTCAGTAGGGACATCCGCCTGTATGCTCACTAGTGCCTGTCATCTGAGTGTTTAGTAAACCTTTGAATGACTATTAAAAACAGCCCACTGCCACCGAGTTGATTCCAACTCATACTAACCCAATATGCAGTAGAGCCACCCCATGCTTGTTTCCAAGGCTGTATCTTTACAAAGCGGGCTGCCCTTCTCAGGGGACTGGCTGGTGGGCTCCAGCCTTAACCACCGTGCCACCTACGATATTTAGAAATCCTGAAGTTCTCTTTGGTCAGTATAAGTCAGAGCTGGCTCTCGGGAACCCAACAACAGATTCAAAGCCTGCCTCTGCTTCCTCCTCCTAGTTGTTGTGTGCCATTGAGTCAGAACATACTCATAGCTGACCCTCCAGAGGATTTTCAGAGGCACTAAATCGCACGGGAGGAGCAGCTGGTCAATTCGAACTGCATGGCTTTGGGATTGCAGCACAGCTTCTTAACCCTAGGCTACCGGAGCTCCAGTCTAGTAGTCTGAATGTTTTATTGATGTCTTACAGGGTGTCAGAGTTGGCTGGTGCCCCGAAAGTGCCTTACTCGCTGAGGCTCTTGTCCCACTAAATGGGATGAAGTGGGCTAGGGCAAAACTAGAGTGCTTTCCGGGGCGGGACCCCCCTCTTCTAACTGCTGGGAAAGCCAGATTTGGCCCCTCCCCCTGGAGGGCAAGGAGTTGGGGAAAACCCTGCGAGGGCACCTTCCGCGGAAGCCCAGGGCAACAGGCAGTGTTGAGCATGATTGCGTCAGATTAGGAATGCGCCCGGGCAGATCCTGACCCAGCCAGCCATGCCTCTCCTCCCCCAACCGGGACCTCGGCCCCTCATCGGCCCCCTTCTCTTGCTCTTACCAGAGCAGGAACTGTGCCCCCTCCCCAGCGGGTCATAGGCGCCGCGTTCTGCAGGCTCTGAGCATCTTTATGAGAGTCTCTGGCCTCTCTGGGCCTCAGTTTCCCCTTGGGTGGGGAAGGTTATAACGACCTACATTGAGCCTGGGCTTTACTGGCTTCAACGGCGTCACAAACATTCCCATCAGCCCCTAAAAGGGCTCTTGTTTTTTGCTCCCCACCTTCACATACATAAGGGGGAAACTGAGGCTCAGCGGTGCACCTGGGTCCCTCTGACTTGGAACCACAGGTTGGACTTGGGGGCTGTGGAGGGGCCAAGGAGATCTCAGATTCCACTTACCCTGGGGGGTTAGGATCCAGACAACGGGGCCGGTTCTCGGATCTGGATTTGAGTCTTCCCGGCTCTGGTTCACTCGCAGCTGGTCCGCCAGATCCTTGTATCGTTTCTGCATCTCTCGGAATCTGGAGGTGTCTAGATCCGAGTCCGGGAGGCCTGGGCTGCCCTCCCGGACCAGGGACAGAGCGCCCCCCGGCGGCAATAGCATCGACAGCAGCAGCATGAACAGCAGCAGCAGCACTGGAGGATGCGGCAGGGTAGGTCTCCGCAGGGACATGACGGTACTGGCTGCTCTAGGTCGGTCCAACTGACCCAACACGGCTCAGTCGACCTTTATAGTCTCCGGACTTTGTCCGCCTCGCCTGACCGGCCCCTCTGGCCCGCCCCCCTGCGTGCAGAATAAACACTCCAGGAACTGCAGCTGGCAGGGCATCCGGACCGCCTTGAAAGTGAGGATGAAGCTCCACAGGAAGCTGAAGCACTTCTCTGAGCCTCAGTACTCTCCTCTGTGGAATGGGAACATCATCCCCGTCTCAGGGACGAGTGAGGAGGATGATTTGGTAAAAAAAGACTTAGTAATACAAACCCCCAAAATGTTCTTTAATGAAAAACTTATCTTCGCCTTTATAAGGAAAGAAACTCAACTCGTCCTGCTATCAGAACCGGCTCATGGCTGACCATGATGTGAGTGCACGAGGCTGTACATCATGTGGGGGAAGAATGTCCATCTTTCTCATTCAGAGCTGATGGTAGATTTGAACTGGCAGAGAAACGCCCTTGGCTTAGCAGCAGCACCCCATGGATTACACCACCAGAGCTCTCTATGGAAAGAAAAGAAGGCCAAATACCTAAAACGAAATTGAAGAACAAACTAGGCGGCCGCTTGCTTTCTAATCTCAAAAGTTTCGGTGCAGCCTCAGTTCTCTGAACCACCTGGTACTAGTTCAGTGTGGGGCTCATGGCGTTCAGTGCCATCAAGTCTGTTCTGAGTCAGTAACTCTGTGAAGAAGAACGAAACGTTGCCCAGTACTGTTCCAGCCTCACAATTAGTGCCACGTTTGAGCCCCGAGTTGCAGCTCCTGTGTCCGTGTGTCTCATTGAGGGTCTTTCTCTTTCTCATTGACTCTCTGCTTTATCAGGCATGATGTCCTCCCAGAGAGCATGTCCAAAGATCCTCTCATCATCCTCTCTTCTAAGAAAAGTCCTGCCTGTACTTCAAGCAGAGGTTTGTTCATTCCTTTGACAGTTTACAGGACATTTCTGTATTCTTCACCAACACTGTAATTCAAAGGCATTTGCAATTCAGTCTCTCTTACTCATTATCCACCTTTAACATGCATGTGAGGGGATTAAATAATACTGTGGATTGGATCAGGGGCACCTTAGACTTCAAAGTGACACATAAAGCAGTGGAATAGAATGGACAACCCTGAAGTAAATCCAACCATCAGTGAGCAGGTAATCTTTGAAACATCCAAGTTTACTCAGTGGAGAAAGAAACATTCTCTTTAACAAAGCGTGTTGACAAAACTTAGTATCTCTGTGCAGAAAAATGAACCAGGATTCACCTCTCACACTATGCACAAAAGCCAAGTCAAAACGGCTCCAAACTCTAAATGTGAAAGCTAAGATAATAAAGTTCCTCAAAAGCAACATGGAGTCAAAACCAGGAGACCAGATTCATGGCAAAAAATAACCTATCAAACAAAACTCAAACTGGATGAATGACAGAAGACATAGCAGCCAACTGGGACCTTCTGAAGTCAAAAGTCTTTTGTATTCATCAAAAGACTTCACTAAGAAAGTGGGAAGAGACTTTGGGTAGAAAGTTCAATGATTAATTGTTTGAGCCACTAGAGCTTCTAAAAGAAACTTTATAATCTGTGCTGCTGTGACGCACTGTGGAAGCAGAACTAACCCCTAGCTGACCCTCCAGCAGGTTCTCAGAAGCAATAATTCTCATGGGAGGAGATTGTACATCTCTCTCCCACAGAACAGCTGGTGGGTCTCAGCACACAACTCCTTACCATGAAGCCACCCAATGTGTACTAGATAGATATACTCGCTTAAATAATCAACTATATAAGGGCAAATGATCAAGATTTACCCTAAAGAAGTTAAAGAGGGGCATGGAAGCTACATTCATGGACCTAGAAGAACTAAAAGAATTGAGAGAATGTTGGCATATTGTGAAACTGTAGCCAGCATCAGGGGACAAGTTGTATAAAAGTGGTTGAATAGGAATCTAATTGGCCATGTAAACTTTCACCTAAAACACAATAAAATTATAAGTATGTAATCATCACCTGCATGGCACAAAGGGTTTGCATGTGCGTACTAACCAAACTATTAGCCATTAGAGCCATCCAGCTGTGCTGCGGAAGAAAGGTCTGGCAGTCTGCTATTGTAATAATTACTGTTATGGAAACTCTATTGATCCATTCCGCTGAGTCAGAAGCAAGTCCATGGCAATGAGTTCCGGTTTTTGGTTTTTCTTCGCCTTCCTAGGTGGTCTGCTTTCCCCATGCAACTCCCCTTGTCCCTTCTCTGTTGAGGTCAAAGGCTGAAGATGTTGGAAACAAAGAGGAAGAGAAAGGGCCAGGAAGTGTGATCTTAGCAAGTCATTTCTCTCCTCTGCGTTTCTGCTTTTTCTGGAAGATAAAGCTGGCGCCTCTCACTGGATACATGATCTGATGAGATAAAAAACACGGGACCAGGTACATAGTAGGTCGTTGGTAAATGAAATTTTCTAACTATTTCTACTCTTTTTATTTTTAGAAGAAAACCCTATTTATAAAATCCCTCCTCTAGAAAGCGTGTTCCTCTAGTTTTTCAGAGACCTCCTATTTAAGAAGTGGATGGCCAATCTTGCTTCCTAGTCTGTCTTAATCTGGGAGCTCCACTAAAACCTGCCCACCATGAGTGATTCTTAGAAGCAAAAATGATAAACTTTTGTCTCACGTACTTCAGGCATGTTGCTTGAAGAGGTTGGTCATTGGAGAAGGACATCATGCTTGGACAGGTGAAGGGTCTACAAAAGAGAAGACCCTCAACCAGGTGGATTGACACAGTGACTGCTGCAATGGGCTTGAAGGTGTCAGGAAGTGTGAAGGTGGCACAGGATACAACAGAGTTCAGATCTGGTCTTCATAGGGTTTTTAAGAGTTGTACTCAACTTGATGGCACCTAACAACAACCACAGCAGCTAGGTGGCTCTTGCTGACAATTACGCTTCCAGGCTGAGCCAGGCCCTTCCCACTCCCACCCCTTCCTCTGGCTCAGCCCTGACCACATGGGATCTGAAGTGGCAGTGCCTGGCCCTGTTTCCCATCAGGGCTCCTCAAGGACTAGGGTTAGGGGGGGAAACAGCCAATGAAAACCCACTGGTTGTGAGATTCTCTTGCTTTGGACAGTTCAACAGAAGGAATCAATTACGAGAGGAAGACATCGTGTTTGGTGAAACAGAGGGCCTGAGTGAGGTAAAATGGCACAACAGGTGCAACCCTGAACTGAAATATGCCAGTGACAGGGAAGATAACGCAAGAACAACGCTTTATCCTGCTAAGATGAATGTCTAATTCTGTTAAGACGCCATAGTGAGTAAGGATTCCCTGGGTGGAAGTTGGCTTGGCAGCAGTGACCCATCTGTTTCTAACGAAGTTGTTATAAGGAAGTAGTTTGCCTTTCTTGTTCCCAAGAGCCAAAGACTGTGAGTGACGAATTTTATTACAACCAGTCCTTACCCCCCGCCCCGTTCTTCTCCTTTTTGAAATTTTGTAATACCTATTTTTAAATTGGTGGTGGTGTCTTACTTCCTCACCCCCGAGGAGTCATATCTGATGTTGTAAAACTTGCAAGTGGTGACTCTGTGAGTGATAATCATGGACAGCAGAGGCCAGTCGCTTTCTTAGCCTCTTGGATTAAATGGACAATGTATTACAGGAAGACTTGCGGTGAGCTTCCTGTTTACTGTAGGATGTTTGGGTTTCGTAATCCTGGATCGATCCAGGGCATCAAACGTTCCAAAACGCGAAAGAATTCTACTCACTGGATATATCTGTATCTTATTGAGGTGTTTGGGGTTTTTTGTTTTGTTGGCTTGAGTGGACATAAAGATATTGCCAGACTAGCTGATGGGTTAGAATGCCCTTCGAGAAGGAATCGTGAGTATTGGACTTACTCTTGTTATTAATTCTTTAAAGGCCACACCAATCACCAAATCCAAAATGTGAAAAAACATGAAAAGCAACAGAAAAAGGAGAATCTAGCATTTCCTCCTGGTTCTGTCAAAGAGACACACTTGTCACAGGTGTTTGGTACCTCTGTCTGTCTGTTTCCTGCTGGTCTAGATTGACAGACCAACAATATTAGGTGGCATCTTCTTCAGTATTAAGTTGGACAACAATATTAAGTTGTCCATTTAAAAACTTTTTTTATTTTATTATTTTTGTGTGAGTGTACCGTCAAATCAGATCTGACTGGTACAGGAGGAGATTGTCCCTCCTTCCCCGGCAGAGCATCTGGTGGATTCGAACTGTGCGTCTCTGGGATTGTAGTTGCAGCTCCTTACCACTAGGCCACCAGATAAGTTGTCCATTTGTAAAAGGAAATTATCTCCACTTCTGGGGCTGCACACTGAATAAATGGATTCATTTCTACAGCTTCTTTGGCCTTCATTCGAGATGGTCTTTCTGATCGTCAACCGTTAATTCACATCAGGAGGCAAGATGCCACGCAGGCTGAGAACCCTGGAACTGTGATCAGCTCCATCGATGGTGTTTGTCTTGAAACAGAGTGTGTGATAGGATGGTATTTAACATAAGTCTATAAGACTGTTTTTTCAATTATACATGAAAGGAGAGGAATGAATAATTTTTTCCAGTTCAGAAAAATAAGAAGAGAAGCAGAGAGAGAGAAGGGAAGGAACTTCCTAAAAGAGTTATAACATGGGTCGAGGGCTGTAACTCTGAAGGGCATGAGTCGCCCGGAAGGGGCCCTGCACCTAGACAGGTGGTGATGGCAGGAATCTGCTGTTAGGTGTGCAGTTAAGAGAACTAGACAGAAAAAGAACTAAACAACACTACAATGACTCTGAGCTGGCTCAGTTAGCTGAGTCATCTAATGCCTAAATAGGAGCTGTGCTGTGAGTTCTGCGTGGTCATTGCAACAAATTGCCAAGCCCAGCAGAGAAATAAAGGGCGTGGTAGGAGGCAGGGCTGGTATTAGTGTTAAAAGGCTGGAGAGTGGGGATGTGTCCACTTCTACTTTCTCGCAGTC